TGAAAAATAAATTGAATAAAAGACCTTTTACTTAAATTTTTTTTAATTTTTGGATTTATGGATTTCTTCGGTGTCTTACTTACTTAAATTTCTTTTTAGTGGACGAATGACTTGCTTGATAAGTTAGATGAATATGGCATAAAAGCTACATTTTTTGTCAATGGTCACAACGAAGACATTTATTGTATCTACGATTTCGCAGAAATTTTACAAAGAGCTTATTCTTCAGGTCACTTAATCGCCCATCACACGTGGTCTCACCCATACTTGACAGGTGTCAATGCTAATGAAGTAAAATACCAAATAGAACATTTAAATGAAGCATTTAAGAAAATTCTCGGCGTTACACCAAAATATTTCCGGCCTCCGTACGGTGATGGCATTAATAATGCAAACGTAAGATCAGCTATGGTAGCAAACGGAATGGATAAAATGGTAATTTGGGATGTGGATACTGAGGATGCTATTGACGGAGTCTCAGAGTCAGAGAGTGAAGACAATTATTCTGATGGGATCAGTGATCAACAACCCCATGTTGTGTTAAGTCATGATAGGATTCAGACTACATGTGAGCAATTGGCACCTTTTGAGATTTCTCAAGCAATTGACAATGGGTATCAGTTTGATACAGTTGCAGGGTGTAATGGAGATTGGGACTCAAGTAATTGGTATAATATTGATACCGGATCATTTGGCACGAGGGACAAAACTTGGACATGTAATGATGCAGATATGCATGATTCGGATAACACATCACCTCGTTAAATTAACATATTCAAATAAAATTTAATGGGAACTAAAAACTATTAAATTTGCTGTCTAAACCGAATTAGTTCTGGTAGTTTATTATTATCGTTATATTTGATTTCAAACTGGTTCGAACAATTTAAAATTTCTAATTGTAACCTCTTTATAAACAAATTAGATAAATTAGATAAATTGAATGAAAACCAAATTAATCAGACTGCTAAATAACATTCTAAATCAGTATATATATATGCATATTATATTGACACTATAAATAATATTTAGTACCTGTTACAGTAATGTTGTTAGTCGAAATATCTTATTTAGTCAAATATTTACAATTTTGTGTCGAAATATATTTTAACATGGCACCAATTTACATATCACCTAGTTGGGGTTAGTGATTGTACCCGTCCTAAAAAGTACAACCCGGGTTACCCGCGGGTAGACCAGCGGGTTACCCGGGTAGACTGACGGGTCTACCCGGGTACCCGTCAAACCCAGGTCGATCATCGATTTTGAAATGATTTTTAACAACTAATATAAACCTAATCCGGAATTATTTTTAGTGAGGATCGTTGAGGTTGTAGAGTAGCAGTACCGAATATAGATGCAGACTTCTGACATCACTTAGTTACGTCCTATATAAAAAATCGGGTCATAAAATAAAATGCAATTGAGCCGTAACTAGTGATGTAAATAAGTCTGCATCTATAGTACCGAAGCAATGTGACTACACCTAATAAAAAATCTCCCGAATGATTTTTCGTCCGTTCCGATTAAGTTATTATTTCGGCATAATAAATTCAAGTACTAACCTTTACATTAATTAATGCAGTGGCACATGATTATTGACCTGCATTACAAAAATTTTGCCAGCATTATTAGACTTTGTGTGCCAGCTCTATAAAAATTCTGGACAATGTTATTTACATAACAAAAAAATTATATATCAGAAATTTACATGCAAATTTTCACCCTATATCCTATATCCATATATATAAAAGACATATGTATTATATTTGATACATTTCTATGATAATTTTAACATTATAAAATGTCAGCATGTTCAATATTACTAAAGTTTCATTTACATACTTGCCCAACATGTTTAGTGCTGTAGTGTGTTTAGCCTGTATGAAAACATATATATTTCAAATTACAATGTAATTTATATGTATAACATAACATAAATTGTATATATGTTGTGCCTCAGACTAATGCTTGCCTCAGATTATAGCTGACGCATCTCAGATGCAGATCATCAAGTAAGGTGTGTAACCTATCAGTCAGTCAACAAGCACTAAAAAAAAAAAATTATATATATAAAAATTGAATATGCCAAAAAACTTAGATGGGAAAAATATACTGCGAAAATTTAAACAAAAAATATATATATATGTATAGAGAGAAAAAAAGTACATATTAATTGAAAATAGAATGTGCTGTGAAAATTTAGACAAAGAAATTCAAAGAAAAAAACCAGAGATTCAAGAACACTATTGGAGATAAAACAACATCAAAGTGATTCAAAAATATAAAATGCTACTGGAGTTAAAAAAAGACACCAAAATGATTTTAAAAAATGCTACCAGTAAGAAAGACACCGAAGAAATCCATAAATCCAAAAATTAAAAAAAATTTAAGTAAAAGGTCTTTTATTCAATTTATTTTTCATTAGATTGCAGCTTAAATGATAATCAATAGATTACGCACCTCATCTAATAATCTGCATCTAAGGTATGTCAGCTGTGATCTGAGGCAAGCGTTAATCTGAGGCACAACATATATAATATAACATAAATTGTAATTTATTGTTATATATCGATCATACCGAAATCATTAACTTAACCAGATCGGTCAAAAACTATTCAACAAATTTTTATCAAGTGTTTTAGAAATTATAAAAACACAGCGGGTTGGCTCACGGATAGACCTACGGGTTGGTTCACAAATAGACCCACAGGTTAATTCTTGAATCCTATCTGAGTAAACCTGCAGATCTATCTGTCCAGCCTATCTGGATAGGCACAATCACAACCCAGATACCTGACCCATCCAGGTATACCTGGATTAACCCAACCCAGGTTCAATTACTAGTTAGGATTAGGGTTAAAGTTAGTGGACAACATTAGTAACTGGACTTGTATTAATTTGTAACTTGCAAATTAAACTCTGAAGAGTGCTCGAATCATTTGAATAATAATATTCTTCGAGTTTTATTTAAGTTATTCGAGTTACATAAATTAATTATCCTAAATAGCAAATTGAGAGTTACAAAGTAAGTATATTTTAATTTGATTTGTGTATTATAAAAGTGAATTATAATAATCTCAAATTACAAGTTATAAAGCAGATACATGATATATAAATTATTCATTAGCTAGAAATATTGTATCTAATAAATTCTTGTTTCTCTTTAAAAATAGCATCTTTCCCACCAATTCTGGATCAAAGTTTATACATTTTGCTGTAATATTGTTTTTAATGTCAAAAAATAACCATTCTGATGAGTCTGACATTGCCGATATATATAAATACTTTCAGGCGATTTTAATAATATTAAAAATCAGTTTTTTTTTTAAGATCCCACCATTGAAAAAGATCTGTTCATCTTCCTTCCTCTTCTAACAACAAATACTCATCAATTTCACTAATTGTATCAATTCATATTCATTTTCAGTTCTAATAAATTGTCCTTCAATAACATTGCTAGAATGGCAAGAAGTATTTTTAAATATCCTATATCTACAGGAAGATGATTAATTAAGTTTAAAGTTGTTGAGCTGTCATTGTATAAGACATCACACTCTTTTCCATCATCTAATATAATCTTACAGGTCAAAGTTATATTATTCTTATCTTTTTCAAAATAGTCCCAGACGAAACTTTTAGGTTGATCTTTGAAATTGCATATATTTTGATTAATTTCTTCATAATAGGATTCTTTCTACTCATTATTACTCAATTCTTCCTGCTCATTGTCACTGGATTCTTTCTGTTCATTTTTACTTCCATTTTGTATCATAATTACTAAAGATTCACAATTACAAAAGTTGATTTATTTATATATTATTACGTAATTATAAGCTTTATAAAATTACTAATTATTAAGGGTGTGACAACTTAGTGAAGTGGTGAAGTTGTCGCACCTCCAAGCGGTAGAATATAAGTTCAATTCTCACGGAAGGTGAAAATTGGATTTTAGAAAAATGGATTCAGCAACTATTGTTGTAGCTGAAAAAACTCGAGATCCTGTAATTGTAGTTATGCCAAGATAAAAATTAGAAGATTCTGAAGCATTTGTATAATAAAGGAGGTACACAAAGGCATGCAAGCTGGTTTAGTTAGTGCAAACTCAAGATACAGTAAGTCCTTCAGAATCGCAGAAAGCTACAGAGCTAATACAGCGGTAGGGCGCTCACTTGGGAAGTCCTAAATAAAGAGGTAGCACAGATCTTTGACGATACTATATGCAGATTAATATCTAGAGAACTGGATAAACTGAACAGGACTGAAGTGTTCGGCAAGGCACTCTACCAACCAGACTACCAGAAGAGTAATTGGAGGAAAAGAACCCAATCATGAGACCAAGAGCAGGTCATAGCCTTTTCAGACCATTTGGATTGGTAGTTTGGAATAGCTAGAAAACTGGGAAAAGTCTGTAGGTATACCGGGGTTTGGGTGAACTCTATAAGAGCAGTAATAGATAACTGTAGCAGCTTTGGCTCACAAGTATTTGTCCTCAGACTCGGCATAAGTTACTAAAGAAGACTAGGCAATATGGGAATAGTGGATACCAGACTGCTCTAGCAGATAATATACTGAGAATAAATCAGTTAATCATACCAGTAGTCTTATAGGTGGATGCGATGATCTTGGAACTTGGTCTGACTTATGTATCATATATTCTGAGTAAAGTTAGATAGATTGACATAGGAAACTCAGATCAGAGGGTTTAATTGGATAATTCAAGTAATAGTGGGTTACAGGCAGTGATGTATATTTTGACTGTCCAAAGGCTTTTTTGGTACTGTCCAACGTCCAAGTGTCCAAGTATCCACAAGTGTCCAGAGTATATCTAAGCTTTAATAATTAATAAATTTGTTTAACAAATATATAATTATATATTTTTT